CTTCTTTTTATATGCTCCGAGTTAAAAACCCTTTTACATGGTGAAAGTACGTGTGAAAATGAAGCGAGGCATTCCTCAATATGAGAGGAAAATGACAAGGGACAGCTACCATCATGACACCGAATCATTCTGCGAAGATTACTTCTTTCCACATGCGCCGAGTTATAAACTCTTTTGCATGGTGAAAGGACTTGCGAAAATGAAGCGGAGCATTCGTCATTATGAGACGAAAACGATAAGAAAAAATCTATTAAAAATTTTCGGCGTAGCTAAGCGGATTAAGGCTCTTACGTTAATACTTTCTGCACCGGCAATGAATGTTCGAGTCCGGCTGACGAAGCGACCGCATGTAATGTTGGTTTTTGGGTTTCGTACTGTTGAACATATATGTATACCTATAGTATATATATTTTGTATTTCTGTGTCGATATAATTGTTATGTGAGCAATTAGGGTAGTGTCACGTTTTGCTAATGAAAAATAATGTAAAAATCTACTGTTTACAATCAATGCAGACATAATGTGTTGAAGGTTTTGCACTGTGCATAATATGAAAACAATATATATATAATTCGAACAAGGTAGCTGTTTATGGGTACAGTCGTTCAAGGGAAGTATCCTAGCAAACACAATGTAACACAATGTAACATATATATTCGTTGTAATTTCGTACTCAACAGTACAACTGTTATATAACACACTCGTCATATAACAGTTACATGGTCGCGTGTGTTATATATAACAGTTACATTGTTGAGTAGGAAATTACAACGAACATGTATGTTACGCGTTACATTGTGTTTGCTGAGATACTTCCCTGCCAATGTACGACTATCTTGTTCCAATTATACATATTGTTTTCATATTACGCACAGTGCAAAACGTTCGATACATTATGTCTACAATGATTGTAAACAGTATGTTTTTACATTATTTTCTCTTACCGCAAAGTGACATTACTCTAAATGCACACATAACAATTATATCGACACAGAAATATAAAATATATATACTATAGGTATACATATATGTCCGACAGTAAGAAACACAAAAAAACATTGAACGCTGTCACCTCGTTATCCGGACTCGAACACTCGCTGCTGATGCAGAAAGTACCGGCGCAAGAGCCTTAGTCTTCTTAGCTACGCCGCTTTGGTGGAAGTGAATGCCACGTTGTGTCTTATGTGAGACACAACGTGGCATTCACCTTATGACTTCATGACTCTTACTTTGCATCGCAATATTTAGGAAACGAAGGCCCATTCACCTAAACTCTTTTAGAATTTTGATACTTTATATTACGTTTATCGAGCGCGCTATACCTCGTTAAGAAATCGATTTTGCAGTTGACGTCATCTCCTTGTCAGTGCGTAACGAAAATGATATCTCAAATTTTCATTGAAATTTATATAGAAAGCTCATATACTAGATAACATATTCTTCAAAACAATATTCGTAAGTTACACTAATGTGTACAACACATTTTTCGAAAAAACACTGATGCACTCACTACATAAGCGGTTTGAAGGATTCATCAGAAAAGCGAAAGGCTCTCTTGGAGAGAATGCGAATATCGGCAAACGTAGCATTCACATTTACGTATCGTCTATGTGTAAGACAATTGAAATGACAACGTAGCACACATACTTAACATCTTAACGCATAACATCTGTGAAGGGACGATATATGAAAAAATACTGCGCCGCAACGGTATCGCGAATATGTTCACGTTTATCAAAGGTGACATTTTGACGATCGTCTTCGTTCCGTATAGATATATATATAGATTAAGATATAGCGCTTTCTTCCAGGACATGCGTGAACTAAAAATCAGATCTTCTTCATCACATAACCATTAAACGCTAGCACACATATCGCTTATTACTGAAATTCTCTTTTTATTTAAACTATTCATTAAAATTCACGATGTCTTCATAATGTTCCTGAAAGTCCTCTCTATGCCGCATACTATATATTTATGGCGTATGAGCTCTAAATTTGTTACATGAAACTAAATATGACACCTTTATCGCATTTTCAATAGTAAATACAAAATTTTTTGTTGATTTCGATGCAACTTTTTAATATACGGCATTCATTATTGCTTATACTTTCACGCTGTAAAAGTATTTGCAGTTACGTGCACCCAATTACAAGGAAAAAGGATCCTATCAAAACGAGTCTAATGTCGGTAACCAGCATTGCTTTAAATACATGTTTAAAAACATTTTAGTTAATAAAATAATTTGTACGGATATTATACATATCATGTTACCGGTTAGAAATATTTGAGAATTTATTTAAAACAATCTTTAAATATAAACATTAACTTTCTATCTATCTTTAAATATCTATCTTTAAATATAAATATTATTAGGTATACAACTTTGGTTCCGCCGTTTTTTTCCGAATTTCGAGGCTTTATTGTAAAAAACTGGTTATACATTTATGATTCAAAATATTGTCCATCGCTGACCACTACTTTCTCCCATCTTTCAGGCAGCGTACGAACCCCGCGTCGAAAAAATTGGTCATCTTTTGAGGCGATCCATGAATCGATCTAATTTTTTATTTCTTCATAAAACCGGAAGTGCTGGTCAGACAGGCCGTGTGCCATTGATCGAAACAAGTGATAGTCAGAGGGAGCAACGTCTGGAGAATACGGCGGGTGGGGTACGACTTTCCATTTCAACGTTTCCAAGTATGTCTTGATCACTTTCGCAACATGGGGTCGAGCATTGTCATGCTGCAAAATTACTTTATCGTATCTCTTGTTGTATTGCGGCCGTTTGTCTTTCAATGTTCGGCTCAAACGCATCAATTGCGTTCGATACCGATCGCCTGTGATTGTTTCAGTCGGTTTTAACAGCTCATAATACACTATGCCGAGCTGGTCCCACCAAATACAGAGCATGACCTTGGAGCCGTGAATATTCGGTTTGGCCGTCGACGTGGAAGCATGACCGGGAACTCCCCATGATTTTCTGCGCTTGGGGTTATCGTAATGAACCCATTTTTCGTCCCCAGT